TCGCCTACCCAAACTCCCAGCCAAGGCGCGTGGTGGCGTCCTCGCGCCCTCGCTCGCGCCCCCGCCCGCCGCCCGCGCAAGCCAGGCATGAATGCTGAGACTTGCGTCTCTTACTGCGAGTCGCCGGCTGCTGCCATGGACGCCTACTACAGCCCGGTGTCGCAGAGTCGGGAGGGCTCGTCGCCTTTTAGGGCATTTCCCGGAGGCGACAAGTTCGGCACAACTTTCCTGTCGGCCGCCGCCAAAGTACAGGGATTCGGGGACGCCAAGAACCGGGCCCGTTACAGCGCTGGGCAGCAGGACCTAGCGACACCCCTGGAGAGTGGCGCCGGGGCGCGGGGCTCCTTTAACAAGTTCCAGCCCCAGCCGTCGACCCCGCAGCCCCAGCCGCCGCCGCAGCCCCAACAGCAGCAACCGCAGCCCCAACCGCCCGCGCAACCGCATCTTTACTTGCAGCGAGGCGCCTGCAAGACGCCCCCGGACGGCAGCCTCAAACTCCAGGAAGGCAGCAGTGGCCACAACGCGGCCTTGCAGATTCCCTGCTACGGTGAGTGCACGTGCGGGTCACCTGGGGCTGGGGACCACGGTGTGCTTGGCTTCCGCATCCCTTGAAACTGGTGGCTTGCGGGAGGTATGAGTTGGCGGGCTGGGGGTGGGCTGGGGGCAGCCGCGGGTGACTCCGGTCAGTAAACGGGATCGATCGCCGCGAGGAAGCCAAGGGATCTGTTCTGTCTCCTTCATGTCCGCCGGCCTAGGCACGGAACGTTTCGGCTGTTAAACTCGACCTGGAGTTTGTTTTTCCCGGTCCCTTCAGCATTTCTCCAAACCGCTCTCTTTGCGCTGCCTGCTGGGCGGGATTTGAAGCGGATGCTTCTTACCGGCCCTGGGTGTGCGGCGAAAAGGAGTCTCCGCGCGGCGCAAAGAAGTCTCCGCGCAGCGCTCTGGCGCGGGGTCGCGGGGCTGCGGGGCTGCGGGACTGCGGGACTGCGGGACTGCAGAGGCCTCGCTCCTCGCGGGCTGGGAGGCTCCTTGGGCAGCGCCGCCGCAGGTGAGAGCGTCGCAGGTGTGGAGCCCGGCAGGAAGCCCGGAGCGTGGTTGGCCGAAAGCTCATGGGAAATCCAGGAGCACTGGCGCGACACAGTGCGGAGTCAGAGACCGTGGGGTCCCAGGAGAAACTGGGGTCTGGCCAGACCCGAGTCCTGGGACCCTGAGCGCTACTGGCCGTGGGGATGCGGGCAGGCCAGTTCCCCGGGAGCTTCTCCCTCGGCATTTCTTGGAGGCAGCAGGCCTCAGAACAATGGTTTAGGACGGAGTAGCAGGGGAGACAGGAAGTCCCGAGTCCCGGGTGGCCCATGGCTGTAGCAAAAGACAAGGGTCTGGGTCCTGATTTGAGCCCACGGGGAACCCGAGGGAGCTGGCCTAAATGACCTCCAAGCCCCCTTGAACGCAGCCACAGGAGGCAGGCCTGGGCCCCCAGAGCACGGCCACCATTGTCGGTGACAGAGACACTCAAGGACAGTCTCTAGCCAGAGCCGGTGTCTAGCCAGAGCAGCTCGGTAGCCCAGGCCTTCTGTTCTTCCACAGAATCGGGTTTCCTGAACCCCAACGCGGAAGGGGGAGCAACGACGCAGAAAGAAAAACCTTCTCTGGGCCGGGAGCCCTGAGCACACACTCTCCCCGGAGGCCTTGGCCTTCAGGCCGGCCCTGGTGAGATGAGTTGGGGGCAGGGAATTTGCCCTGATCCAGGCTGATGGAGAGGCACTAGGCCTGGGGACAGAGGCTGGGACATGGCAGAGGCCTTGGTGGCTGGAATAACCTTGAGAAAACAGCCGATGGCAGATGTTTTCTCGTATTCAGGTTCCTTCTTTCACAGGCGCAGAACTAGTTGGTAGATGGCTGCTGACAAACAGTCATACCCTTGTCTACAGATGCGCGCACGCGCACACACAGGGCATCTTCTTCAGGAGCCGATGTGGTCATACCCCAAGAACACATGCCCATGTGGCCTTGAATGAGCCACATACTCCCAAACCCAAAGGACAGAACTGAGAGATTTAGAAAGCTTCAGTGGCCCTTCCCCACTTCCTCCACCTTCCTCTTCACCTCCATTTGGAATGAGATCAGGCATTCAGATCACAGACCCCCAAAGCTCCACACGCAGACACCCACAGCTCCACACACAGACACCCACAGCTCCACACACAGACACCCACAGCTCCACACACAGACACCCACAGCTCCACAGGCGGACACCCACAGCTCCACACGCGGACACCCACAGCTCCACACGCGGACACCCACAGCTCCACACACACACACAACTCCACACGCACACACAGCTCCACAGGCAGACACACACAACTCCACACGTACACACAGCTCCACACATGTATACACACAGCTTCACACACGTACACACACAGCTTCACACACGGACACACACAACTCCACACGCAGACACACACGCCTCTCATGCAAGTGCTCCTTCACCATGCTAGGCTGGCAGAGAATCTCAGCCCTGTCCATACCGGCCGGCCTTCCCAGCCCAGGGACGCAGGCCCCAGCTCATCCTTGTCATGCAGGACTATTAGGTGAGAGCAGGTTGCAGACTGGGGGACCCATGGAGGTTCATCCTGCATAGCCAGGGGGCTCATGTTTTCTCTCCACTGCATTGACATGTCATATTTTAACGAAAATTACCAGTGAGACCTCTGAAGAGGCTGAGATACTAGGCAAGAAGAGAGCCTAAGGAGCTCCCCACCTCTTGGTTAAATGCCTTCAAGTCCAGAGGGACGGCAGAGAGGGCTGGCCTCCCCTGAGCCTTCTCTCTGTGCCCTGCTGGGCCCCCACAGCCAGCCTGGCCCTTCCTTTACTTGCACTAGCCTTGGGAGCTGAGGGAAAGAGCCAGCCACTTGACCCAGTACTGCCCCTAACCCGTGGCAGTGTGACCTGACAGCAAACACCTTCCCAAACCCTGGTTTCCTCATCTGCATCCTGGGGTGATAACAGAAAGGCCTTACTGGGTCATAAATGTGCCTCTGCAGAGAGAGCAAGAGGCAAGAGCCAAGAGCTCACCCCCCCATCCCCCCAACCCCCCGCCCACATTTCCATCCCTGTCTATCTCCCTGCTGCTGGGAACTTGAGAGCACCCAATTCTGAGGATAGGGCAAGCCCCTGCCACTGCTCTGGTCATAAACTGCAGACTGAGTCCAAAGGCAGCCTCTAACCACCCGCAGGACCCCACTCCATGCTGCCTAAGATGGAGGCACTGCTCGGGGCAAAGCCACAAACAATAAACAGCAAGTCACTGTTTGTTTTTTTCCCTCTCTCAGCAGCTGAGTCTCCCCTACCAGGAGATGTCTGGTCCTTCTAGGAAAGGGATTAGGCGCGTTAGGTCTAAGATGGAGAAACTGAGGCTCCAAAAGGTGAGGCTCTGCCCTTTACAGAGGTAGCCAGGAGGAGGGCCTCTGGAGTGGGATCTCTACCCTGTCAGCAAGCAGGGAAACTGAGGCATGCACTCACAATTCTCTCCCACAATTGTGAGAGCGTATATACTCAAAAGGGGAGAGATGGAGTTCAAGGAAAAATCCTTAGACATTCCCAGGAGCATGGGGAAAGTCGGAGGTAGGAGCTGCCTTGGTACCAGTACCGGGGCTGGCTAATTCCCGTCTTCAGGCAGGCAGCTGAGACCTGGCAACCATTCCCAGCCCTGGGGGTTGGGACAAAAGCTGGTCGTTCACATGTGTAACTACACCTAACAAAACGATAAAGCTCGGAGGCCTCCCTCTGGGCCTCAGCTTCGGGGCCCACTCCTGGCAGAGTCAAACTACCCCTTGTCAAAGAAGGTGCCCCGGGCAGCTGCTCCAGGGCCAAGCCGAGGGAATGCGGGGCGGAGAAGCCGCCTCTAGTCTCTGCTGGCCGGATCTGGTCTGGGTTGCGGAAAGAGTTGGTGAGAGAAACCCTTCGGGGCTGCAGGCGTCCCTACCCCAACTTGGGCCTTCCTTTCCCCAAATGTGTAAAAGAAGGATGATTAAGGCGGCTCCGCCGTGTCCTTTGGGTGCGGAGACCGCGGTTTTACGAAAGAGCCCCCACCCAGCCCTCTTCTGCTGCAACCCAAGACCTCACCAGTCTACCCCCAGACTCTGGGTCCCCTCTTTGGCCTCCTGATTTCCTTGCCCGAGCCCAGGGTGGGCCGCCTGGGCCCCAGGAGACATGTCAGGTTGGAGACCCGACGTTTCTCAGCGACGAAAGAGCCTCCTTGTACTCAGGGCAGGGACTGCAGCGCCTCGCCCCCAAATTCCGGATCCGACCCCCGGAGCCGCAGCCGGCGCGTGCCGGTCCTAGTCTAACGGTCCCGAGACGCGGGGCCGCTGCGGGAAGCTGCCCCGTTTCCCCCTTCCCTTTCGCTTTCGATTCGTTGCAGACAGGTTTCTGTTGAAAGTAGATTGCTGCCTCTCCATCCACCCACCCTCAAAAAGCAGCGCTCTCAGCGCCAAGGTCTGGGGAGGCGCGGGCCAGGCTGAAGCCCCTGGGGTGCCGCCTAGGGGTCCAGTCCCGATTTTTTGAATTAGACGCAGTGGTTAAATACCAGCGGGTATTTATTTCCTCTGCACAGACACAATCCATGCACCACGAAATGTGTAAATTCTGCCAGGGTCGTATTTGAATGTAGTTCGAGAACTGGGGTGTGTTTTGTATAGGAGAGACGACCCGAAGAAGGCAGAAACGAAAACCCGACAGAAGCAGCAACAGCCAGTGGTGACTGTGGGGTGATCGCGGGAAAACTCGAGCCTGGGACTGAAGCCTGCTCGAGAAGGGGCGACTGTTGTTTAATTCTGGAGGGAGGGATGGTGAAGGAAGATGCTTTTAATTTGTTACTTTGTTAATTTCCATAGCCGGCAGCCTGCTTCACCAGTCTGGTCCAAACACATACGTTCTTAAATAGAAAAACAGAGGGCCTGGATTAAAACTCAATATTTTAAGTCAATCGACTTGCACAATCTTGCACAATCTTTTCTTTATTATACTTTACGTACAATGAAGTGCTTAGCTCTGAGGAGGAAAGTTGGAAGAATTGTTATGTATGTGTACACTGTTAGGACGACCATCTGGGTAAAGAAACAGACCATTTAAGTGTTTCGTTAAACCTTGTAAAACGTTAAAGCAAAAACATTTTTTGTAAGTTGTTTTAAGAAAATTTCAGAAGATACTTCGGAGCACCGGGGACCCCAGTTTGTTCCTGACAGCAGTGTTTCTTGAGTAGGGTGACACTTTCGCCCGGACATTTGCAGTCCCGATTCTAATGCGAAGTTCCAAGCGGCTGCGCCAGGAACCTCGCCGCGAAAACTGGGCTAAGCCGGAGTCACCAAGCCCTGAACCGCACGCACTGCGATGCCGCCCGCATAGGAAAACAGATTAAAACGCCCTACAGAAAATCTCGGCGAAGTCCCGGAGGCCCCCGAGGACTCTGGTTTCTAAGATCAGCTGGGCGCACTTTCTCCGGGACGTCCCTTCTTCTCCGTCTCAGCCCCTTCCTACCCGCAGCCACGCGCAGCTTTGTTTTGGTGGCAACCTGAAATAAGAAATGGAAATATATTGGCCTTTGCTGCTGCCAGGGATGAGAGGTGGTTGACGTCTGGCGCGTTTGTCCGGGCTTCGGGCTTCTCTGCAGACCCCTAGACTGGGATGCCAGAGGTCAGGAGAGGAGGGGGATAGTTGCCCGGAGTTCCCGCGGCTCCGAGGCCTTGGGATGACTCATGGAGGGTGCGCTGCCTCGGTGCGCCTCTGGCCCGGAGGGTAGGCGAGGTGGGTGGTATGGGAGTGTATGCTGGAGAGAAAAGAGAACGCTTGACCAGAGAGAACTTCCTGCCCCCGGAGCCTCAGTGTCCTTAGCCCCCCAAACCCCTGCTCAGGAAGCCGAAGGACCTAGGCCCAGGCAACGGTTTGGGGTGGGGCGGTAAGAGCACTGTCCTGTACCCAGACGTCCCCTGCCAGGCGCCACCTGGCCATGTGCGCCCGCAGCGCAGGGTTCTCCAGCCGTCGGCACACATCCTCACCGAGGTGACAGTCATCGGATTGGGAAACCAGCACTGCGAGGACCCGGCTATGTGATGATACAGTCCGGGGGATTTCGAGTGGAAGCCGACCGTCCTACGGTGCCACTAGACAAGTGAGAAGCAGCTCTTCCAAACAGGGCCCTTTGCTGGAAGGAGGAGGCACCTCTCTCCAGCCTGTGAGCCCTCCCAGCTGCAGCCGGGGTCTTCTCTAACATCAGTTACCCGCGGCCTCCAGGGAGCTGCCTCCAGAGGTGCAGCCCGGCACACCTCTCCTCTGCAGATGTATAAACCAGCGACACCCCCATCTCCATTCAAGATGCTCCTTTTTCACCCAGTACAGGGGTGCGGAATAAACCTGGGGCAACAACTTGCGTGCTGCCTGGAAGCAGGTCCTTCAGAAAGGATGACAAAAATTTAGTGATGCGGCAGAAGCTTCCACTGTGTCCAGGAAGGGACAGCGGCCTCCCACCAGTTGCACCGGCCCTGGGCAGGCCCTCACCCCCAGCACATTTTGTCACCTTAGCTACGGCCAGCCAGCTTCTCCACCTGACCCCAACCCGCACCAGCCAGCGCCAAGGAGAGGGAGGAATGGAAGGGTGTTGTGGCTCAGCAGTGAGGAAGAGCCACGCAGAGGCAAGGCTCCGAGGAGCCAAGGCTGGGGTGTGTAGGGTGGCACGCTGGGCTGCGGGCCGGTTCAGATTTGAACTCCAGAGGCAGTTGGAAGTGTCACCCTGGTGCTTGGCGGCTCCTAGGGTGCTCTTTTGGCAAGGAGGGGGTCACTGGGAGATACCGGCAAGGTAAGAGGCGCCATCGACTGCCAAGTACCTGTCTTTCCGGGTGAAGGCACCACTTGTACTGAGGACCCCTTGGTCATGGCTGCTGAGCACTGGCGCGGGTGCACATTGGGGGCAGAGAGGGAGCCAGTGCTCGCTTCGTCGGATTCGTAAAGCGGATTCTTTAAGAGTGGATTTTCATTCTGAACTGGAGGTCCCCGAGCATGGACGTTGGCCCTATGCACCTCCTAGAGGGACAGGACCTGGTGACCCAGGTCAGAGCACAACAACTGGCTCTCCAGGGCTCTGAAGGGCACAACCGAGGCTGGGAAGCTGTGGGAGGTTTGGACCATGACACTGATGTCTAGCGTGGCACACGTGGGGACCGGGGCCCACAGTCCGGGTGTAGATCACCCCAGCCTCCACCTTTGCATTCTCTACTCCTGCATGGCCTTAGAGAAGTCCATTCTGCTCTGGGTTCTGAATTTTAGTTGCACGAAATGCAGGAGTGTTGACAATTTCCAAAGACCCTCTCAGAGTTTCTGTGCTGGTAGCAGTCTGGACCCACCTTCACCCCCTTTGTCTTCCCTCCTCACCCCCACACGCATTTTTGTCCGGGAGAAATTGGGGTAAGGTAGGTGGGAGAGGCTTCCCTGGAGGCTGACACAGGTCCCGAGTGGGGAGCCATCCCAGGACACAAAGCCAGCTGGAGGTCCCGCAGGGCTGTGGTGGAGTGCAGGTTCTGGGCTCAGGACTGAGATGTAAATAGGGAGGGAGTAAGCGACTGTCTTTGTGTCCACACGTGACCAGGCTCAAGCTAAGGCCCTGGGCTCATGGTCCCTGTGTCCACTCATCTTCCCTAGCCCAGTAATTATGGAGCAGCTTCCCTGGACGGACCTTCTCCCGGGAGATAGAACATGCCAAGCCCCTGCCTCCTGGGTTACAGCTTATGTCCTTCCAAGTGTGTTGTACAGTTGGGCTTAGCAAATGTTCGCTGGCTGGAAGAATGAATGAAGAACTGGTGTCTCCTGCAGTGTTGCGCCTGCATGGTTAAGGGCACCCAGGAGCACCTTTGGCTGTGTGAGGGCCGGCTTAGGTATTTGTGTGAGTGTGTGCATGGCATGAATGTGAGCCGCGTGTGCCGTGCCCATTCTCTCTGGGTCCACATCCTGCTGTCTGAGTGTTTCAGGGCGAGGCCGAGGGTTTGTGTGTAGTCCAGTGAAAGGCATGCCTGTCCTCCGGTACTTGTGTCTATGTACCCCAGTGTGTGAGCCTCAGGTGTGCAAGGGTGAGTACCCATGTGCATGGCTCTGGAGCTTCTCTGAGTCTGTGGGTGGCGTGGCCTCTGCCTCTAGAGGTGCCCCTAGGGAGACAGTGACTAAGTGCCCTTGTATCATGGCCTGTGGCCTTCCTGCCCCTGGTCATGGCTCCCAGGAGCAGCTGACTCAGTGAGTGGCAGGCAGAATCTCCCTGTGGCAAGTCCCTGGGTGGGGTCCAACCACCCCCAGCGACATCCTAAGGTCCTCGAACATGGTCCATCCAACCCACCTACACTGCGGCAAGGCCTTCTGACACGCCACTAACTCTGGAATGTGCCCTCTGTCCCATGTGGCTCACTGCGGAAGAGACGCGACCTTGGCACTGTCTTTACGCACACTGCTGACCCCATTTAGCACATGAGCAAACTGAGGCCCAAGGGGAAATGGACCCCCACAGCCAGGTTAGTAGGAGGGCGGGAACTCACTGAGTTCTCCTCCTTCCACTACGATGGGTGGAAAGGCAGAAAGTATTGGGGAATCAGATCCACTCACCTGCTCTCTTGTTGGTTGCGGCTCCTGCAGTAAGTCCAGTAAGTTGCACTCTCTCTGTGCATCAAATAGGGCAGATGCTTGCAGTTCTGCCTCAGTCAGAAGTAAAGCAAACCCCACCATGAGCTCCTGGGCATTAGAGGACAGCAGGAGAGCACTCATGGAATCCCTGGTGGGACTGCAGGGACCTGACTCTAATGCAGCCATACCAGGCTGGGACTCCTGCTCTCTGCCCAGCTCCCCAAGCTGAGTTTTCTTTTCCTAAGTTCGTGAAAACCACAAGCCAGGGTCAGCTGAGGCCAGATGACCAACTCCTCCCACTGTGCAGGACCGTCCACCAGGCTCTGAGGGCCTTTGGTTACATCCAGGAACCTGGTACCTCCCCTGACTCTGCGGCACACACACACAATGGGTCATGGTGACATGGTGGGGGGCCCACCCAAGGTTGGAAGAGATGGCAGTCATCGCCTGGCCCACATGTCTTATTTTGCAGACAAGGGGACTGAGAGGCCTGATTCCATTTACGCATGGCTCACCAAACTTTGCCTGTCGCTATGCCAGGCCTTGTAGGGGATTCCAGGAAGCTCTGGATGCAGCCTCTGCCTTCAGGTCCAGAGGAAGAGACAGACAAGTGACCTTGAAATTCCAGTTCAGTGGGATGGGTGCTGAGATGGGGAAAGCCCTGACTCAGGCTCTGAGGAGGTCAGCCTGGCTTGCCCTGGGGTGTGCAGGCGCCACCAGGGTTTGGGAGCTTACTGGAAGCCACTTAAGGGGAGGGTTCAGGAAAGTTGAGGGAAGCTGGGATTTGTCCAGGCCAATGAGTCTTCTCTAGTGGCTGGAAATCCTGAGGCTTCTTCTCTCTTGACTTTCTGCTTTTCTGTCTCCGTGCTTTCTCTGTAGATCAATAGGTCTTGGTTTTTCTATGGAAACAGCCGTGTATAACAGCCCCCTTACCTCTCTAGTGCCGCTCCATTTCTCCATGTGTTGAATGGCACTTTGGCCCTGTCCCACCTGTGAGGGGAGTGTGAGGAGGATGTGATGATGGAGAGAGGTAATGCGCCTGCTCCGTACATCCTGCACCGCCAGGTTCTCCGCCCCACCCCTCACACTATACCCTTTGAGGGTGCTAGGATATTGCAAATGATAGTGGTGGGGTTCTGATCAGGTTTCAGAGTAGGGATGTAGAGTTTGGGGTCCTCCTGGATGTGTCAGCCTTCCCAATGTCTCTACGTGGCTACAAGGATTTATTCACACCTGGTTCACATCCCAGCATGGAGCTGGGACAACCCCAGCTCCATGGCCTCTGACTTCAAGGAGGGAGCTCGCTTTCAAATGGGGAAGACAAACATGCAGATAACTCTTCTGCACGGCTCCCCTATTGTGGCCTCAACCTCCCCATCTCTGAACCTTCTTCATGGGACTTGGTGGTTTCAGAGGCCTTGGGGTTCTGTGATACTCACCAAGAGAGACGGATGGGCCCTCCAGAATCCTCCAGATGCCTCAGGACCCCACACTCTTCCCCATTCATTGTGCTAGGAAAGGGGGAAAGCTGGTCCAGTCTGCCAAAGGGTAAGAGTCTGGGATACCAGGCCTGGCTCCTGGTCTGAGTCTTCCCATCTGCAGGACACAGACAATAATGGGTTTTGAGGCAAAGAAGACTTAGAGTTGGCTGCTGCCGCAGAACCACATGACAGCCCAGAACAACTGAGCGTCCCTTCCTGTGCGCCAGGCAGTACGCCAGTGCTGCTTATGTATCATTTCACTTAACTGCCATCACAATCCTATGAGATTGGTACTATTATCATCCCCATTTCATGGATGAAAACTGAGGTTCGTGAAGATGAGTAACTCATCCACAGTGAGACAGCCAGGAAGGAAGAGTCAAGTCTTGCTGGCCGAGGGCTCCAAGAAACCTGAAAGGCATCCTGTTCTAGAATGAACCTGATTAGACTTGAGATCACCCTAATTCTGTCCCAGATGATGTGGAGATGAAAGACAGGGTCTTACAAACATCGCCCCCAGGGCCGGGCACGGTGGCTTAAGCCTGTAATCCCAGCACTTTGGGAGGCCGAGACGGGCGGATCACGAGGTCAGGAGATCGAGACCATCCTGGCCAACACAGTGAAACCCCGTCTCTACTAAAAATACAAAACATCAGCTGGGCATGGTGGCGGATGCCTGTAGTCCCAGCTACTCGGGAGGCTGAGGCAGGAGAATGGCGTGAACCCAGAAGGCGGAGCTCACAGTGAGCTGAGATCGCGCCACTGCACTCCAGCCTGGGCGACAGAGCAAGAGTCCATCTCAAAATAAAGAAAGAAAGAAAAGAAAAGAAAACCCTTAACCCCCAAAGCGTTCTTCTCAGCTTCACATCCAGGGATGCAGAAGACAAGTGGTGTCAAGAGTAAGTTTCAGCACCTGCCAGGTTGAAGTTCTACACGGACTCTGTGACCTTGGGCACAGCTTCCTCACCCGTACCAGGTGAAAACAGGGTCCCAGGCATGGCATAGGGCCTCATAGCTGGTATGAGGAATGACTGCATGAGTTTCCAGAGGTTTCAGGAATGTGACAGAACCTCTGATTTAGGTAGGGTGGAGCTGAGAAGCATCTGTGGGAACAGTGGGGAAATAACACCTGCCCTCTAGGAAACATGAGAGACTGCAGGAGACTTTGTCTGTCTTGTTTCAAACTTTCCCCAGAACCTGGAGCTTGTCTATATAGTAGATGCTCAATAAATGTCTGTTGCTGAGTGAATGAATGAATGGATCTTATGGGAGGGGAACATGCTAGGAACTCTATAAATCTTTCCACTCTCTCTTCGTTCATCCTTCCTTTGAATTGAGGCCTGGGGTGAGAGCCTGCTTTGTCGTTCTCTTGCATTCTGGTAGAAAATGATTGATTTTTTATTTTCTTTTGCAGGGTTTCCTGTGGGGTGTAGGAGCAGGGAGGCTCTGGGTAGCTCTGTTTAGCACAAGCCTTGGTCCTCTCCGACTCTAGCAGTTGGAGGAGCACCCCTTTTCCTCACTGCTCCTGTTTTGGGTCTCACCCCACAGGTCACAGGCCTGCAGTCTGATGGCCACATCCCCCGGGGTTGGCTCTAGTCAAGTGGTTTTCTCCCTTCATCCCCAAATCTCCTCCTCAGGTCTCCCCCATTCCCTACGGTGAGTTCTGTGTCCTTCCCACTGGCACCCCCATTCCTGCCACCTGCCCAGCAGCCTGCCTGAGAGCTGCTAAAGCTCCTCCCTTAGTCCCCCATTCACTCATCCTCCATCCTGGGATTCTGAGACTCACCTGCAAGGGATGCAGCCCTCTGTTCTGGCCAGGAAGCCATCTGACCTCACCTGGGTTCCCAGCAGGGCATCTGGCTCCAAGGCCTGGGCTCTTCCCAGCACACCCGTGATTCCTTCCATACGCCCCAACCCAGCATTTGCAGTCTGAGGGCACTTGAACATCCATGATCCCCTGAGTCTCACCAAAGGCCTATGTGGAGGAATTGAATCTCCATTTTACAGATGGAAGTCAAAGCTCAAAGAGGTAGAACAGCTCAGAAGGAACGCACGGAGGAGTGTGCGCCTGGAAAAAGCTCCTCCTCGCGTCCAACAGATCCTTCAGCCTGGCACTTCTGTGTCAGGCAGGGACCAGAGTGTTTGGCAGTGAAGGAACTGGCTCCTAACCTCAGAGAGCCCATAGCCTGGTTAGAATGTGCTCCATGCCATGGGAATCCTCAGGGAAGGTGAATGGACTGGGGCTTCCTGAGCATGGACATTTGAAGTGGACCTTGAAGGTTGAATAGGAGCTCACCAGCTGAAGGAGCTGAAAGAGGCCCTCTAGACTCAGGAAACAGCATGAACTAAGCCTTTGGGTAAGGGAAGAACAGGAAGCGAGTGTGTGGAGTGCAGGGGCATGATGGATGCCGGTGAGGTGGGCTGAGGAATGGCAGGGGCACGGCCGAAGACAACCTTTTATTTTATTTTATATTTTATTTTTTGAGACAGAGTCTCACTCGGTCCCCCAGGCTGGAGTGCCATGGTGCAATCTCGGCTCACTGCAACCTCTGCTTCCCAGGCTTAAGCGATTCTCCTGCCTCAGCCTCCCAAGTAGCTGGGATTACAGGCACCCACCACCACGCCCAGCTACTTTTTGTATTTTTGGTAGAGATGGGGTTTTGCCATGTTGGCCAGGCTGGTCTTGAACTCCTGACCTCAGGTGATTCACCCGCCTCAGCCTCCCAAAGTGCTGGGATTACCGGTGTGAGCCATCGCGCCCGGCCGTAGGTACCTCTTATAAGTGGAATCATACAATTTCTCCTTTGGTGTCTGGCCATTTGTGTATCTTCTTTGAAGTGTATTCAAGTACTTTGCCTATTGTTGAATGGGGTTGTTTGTTTCCTTGTTCTTGAGTCATAGGAATTCTGGATATTAATTCCTTTTCAGATATATGATTTGCAAATATTTATTCTGTTCTATGGGTTGTCCTTTCACTCCCTGGATACTGTCCTTTGATGCACAAAAGTTTTACATTTTGATGAAGAAGCACAATTTTTCAACTTCTTTTGTTGTTTGTGCTTTTGGTGTCATATCCAAGAAATCATCAATAACTCCAGTGTCATGAAGATTTTCCCCTAAGTCTTCTAAGAGCTTTGTAGTTTAGCTCTTAGGTTTAGGTCTTTGATGCACTTTAATTTTGAATATGACATAACATAAGGCTCCAACATCATTCTTCCTCATGGGGATATCCACTTTTCCCAGCACCATTTGTAGAAAAGATGGCCCTTTTCTCACCGACTGGTCTCGGGACCTTTGTTGAAAATCAGTGGAGCATATATTTGAGAGTTTACGTCTGGTCTCTATTCTGTTGCATTTGTCTGTCTGTCTGGCCCCTGAATGACCTTCTGATGTGAAGTCCAGGATCGCAGAATGTACAAGGACCCTCGTAGGCCATCCGTTCATCTCCTTGCCTGCAGGCCAGTGACTGATAGGTCACAGAAATTGAGCTCAGGGACAAATTTGTTTTCCAGGACCTAGAGCTGGTGAGAAGGGGTGGAGGGCAGAGCCACAGGCGAGGACTCTGGAGCCACAGTTTCGGCCCTGGCTAGGCCCCTGGCTATTTGGGGGCCCCTCTGCCCCTTCAGTTGACCATCCCATGAGGACGTGTGGCCTTTGGGGAAATTCTCATGTGCTCTGAGGGTCTATACACCCACCTCCTGAGATGCTCAAATCTGGGACCACTTCCTTTATTAAGATAATTCCAGAATGCTTCCAGTGGAGCTGGGAGGAGCTCCAAGAGGGAAGCAGCCAGTGGCTCCACGCTGCTGGCCCTATGCATATTTTGAAGAATTTCTGTTTGATTCCCAAAAGAGGCACTCACAACTCCCCGTCCCCCACCCCAGGCCATCCAGTGACCGGCACAACCAGGGGCTGGGGCTCCAGGGACTGGACAGCAGGCTCCAAGGGGAGCACAGCTGCAAAGCAGCAGCTGTCCCCTGCTCCCCCTCCTGGGAACTTCCCCGGCCTAGGTAACTAAACAGAGGCCTGCTTGAGCCTGGTCTTCCAGCCATGTGCCCTAAGGCATAATTGCTAGAGTTCTTGGAAAATCATAGAAACTATGTTCATTCCACAATTGGGCTACACAGGCTGCCTGATGCTTCAGATGCCTTTGGTTTGGAGAAGCCAGTAGAGCTCAGGACCTGGAAACAGATTTCAGCCCACACAGTTGAGTGACCTCGGGCAAATTAGTTGCCCTCTTTGCCTCAGTTTCTTTACCTGTCAAGTGGGGATAAGAATCATGTCTACCCGTTAGTGATAGGGTGAGGCTTAAATAAGGTAAAACGGGTAAGAATCGAGCCGGGTGTGGTTGCTCACGCCTGTAATCCCAGCATTTTGGGAGGCTGAGGCAGGTGGATCACCTGAATTCAGGAGTTTGAGACCAGCCTGGCCAACATAGTGAAACTCTGTCTCTACTAAAAATACAAAAAATTAGCTGGGCGTGGTGGTGGGCGCCTCTAATCCCATCTACTAGGGAGGCTGAGGCAGGAGAATCACTTGAACCTGGGAGGCGGAGGTTGCAGTGAACCGAGATCACGCCATTGCACTCTAGCCTGGGCAACAAGAGCGAAACTCTGTCTCTAAATAAATAAATAAATAAATAGGTAAGGATCTTAGAACAGTTCCTGGAGCATGGTAAGTGCTCAGTCAATGTTAGCTGTTATGATTGGTAAGATTTTGCTGGAAGCTTGACTCTGTCAGATTGGCCAGAAACGTTGATAGGCAATTAAAGTTGACTGGGATGCATAGAGTTGGACAATGAACAAATTATTACCGAATCCACGATTACTGTGTGGTTGACATTGTCTTTTAAAACATGGATGAGTGATGGGAGGTGTGGGGGCCGCCATCTCTACCTAATGCAGTGGCAGGAGGCTTCAAGGAGGGACAAAGGCCACCCAGGCCCCTCGGGCCCCTCCTCCCCATAGGCTGCTGCACCTCGTACCCATGCGTGGTGAGCTGGGGAATAACTCTCTCGCTGCTGAATGTGTTTTCTGTGTTTATTGGACGCAGAGCTTCAGCCTGTCCCCAGGGCAGTGGTTGTGTTGTGTTCCTCTCTGATCAGCACAGGGCTGGGCACAGAGAATCGGGCTCAGGGAATGTTAGGCAGCCTCTGCACCCTCCCTAGGCCCCAGCTTGCCCACCTGCAATTAAGAAAGCACCCGGTGGGCATTGCCCTGGGCCGGACCTGGACTGAGACTTTTCACGGAAACCCATTGGGCGATACTAGTATCCTCAGTTTGCAGGTGAGGAAGGTGAGGTGTCCCGCTGTGGACTGAACCCAGATTTCCTAAAGCCAAAGAGCCTTTTTCCTCTTCACTCCCTTGCCTGGACGCCCTCATGCCTATGTGCCCATCAGACTCAACCAGCATGTGAAAGCTCTGTGAACTGTGGAGGGGTGCACTGGGAGGGGTTTTCGGCACACCACATGCTGTACGTGTACCACACCGTCTTCACTCATCTACCGAAATGATGACCACGTCCCCCGACCCCCCAGACCCCAC